TATTCTATTCTATTCATTCTATTCTATTCTATTCATTCTATTCTATTCATTCTATTTGATTTGATTCGATTCATTCTATTCTATTCTGTCCTATTCAATTCCATTTTATTCTCTATTCTGTTCATTTTCTATTCTATTCATTCTATTCTATTCTATTTATTCTATTCTAGTCTATCAATTCAATTCTATTCATTCTATTCTATTCATTTTCTATACTATTCATTCTATTCTATTCATTCTATTAAATTCTGTTCTGTTCTATTCTATATTCTATCCTATTCTATTCATTTTCTATACTATTCATTCTATTCTATTCATCGTTCCACTCGCTAATTGTCAAAAAGTTTCTCCTTAATTCCAGATTGCTTCTCTTCTCTTCTCCATCCATTTTCCTGCCTTCTGGTACTTTTGGAGAATAGATGGACCCCCTTCTTCTATGGGGGCAGCCCCTCAAATACTGGAAGGCTGCTATCCTGCCCCCCCCCCAACCAAGTCCTTCTTCTCTAGACTAGCTAGCCAAACCCAAATCCTGCAACCGTTCTTCGCCTGTTTCAGTCTGCAGGCCTTCAATCCTCTTCATTGAGCTTCTCTGTGGGGTTCCCCCCCCCAAAAAAAGTCTCAACCTCTTTTTTTGGGGGGGGGGCGTCCGCTATGCCCTGATCTCTCCCGTCTCCCCACGCAACAGGGAGCATGAGTGGGTGCTGCCCCCGAGGGTGGCTGACCTTCCACACCAGTTGCTACTGGACCACCCAGTCCAGAGACACCTGGGAAGCGGCCAAAAAAGACTGCGAAGAGAAGAAAGCTCACCTGGTCATCCTCAACTCGGCCGACGAGAAGGTAAGCAGGCTGGCGGCCAGGGATGGGGATCCAGATTTCTTAACAACCGGGTTCTGTGGGTGTGGCCTAATTGGGAGTCATGTGACTGGCTGGGCGTGGCTTGTCTGTAAATATTATAAATATTTGTGTCAATATTGATTTTTTTTATTAAAAAAAAAGAGCAACTTTTACCCCGAAGCAGGCAGATTGAGTTGCTCACAGAATCACAGATTCGCTCAGAGATCTACCTTTCTGCCATCGGCTACCTGAGTCTGTCACATAAAATTTGCTTGCAAGCCAACTCACAACATTTGCTAGCAAGCAGACTCACACAATTAACTCCCAACACACCATGTATGTCCATATTGAATTTTTTATTTAAAAAAAGAGCAACTTTTACCCAAAATCAGGCCATGCAGGCAGGCAGATTGAGTTGCTCTCATAATCACATACTCGCTCAGAGATCTATCCCTCTGCCATCGGCTACCTGAGTCTGTCACATAAAATTTGCTTGCAAGCCAACTCATAAAATGAATTCGCAACTCACCATGTATGTAAATGTTGAATTTTTTTTATTTTAAAAAGGGCAACTTTTTTCAACTAGAGATCTATCTGCAATCTTGCTGCCTGAGCCTGCACTGAAAAATAGAAGCTAGGAAGGTTCAGCAAGAAATCCAACCATTTCTTGCTTTTTAGCTAATCTAAATCTCCTGGCACAGCAGAACAGCTGATGGTTGGGGGAGG